AGTGGGACGCTCGCTCAACCGACAGAGCCGCCCAGGCGCCCCCTAGGACAGGAGTTGTGAACCTGTGCCTGTGGACCCCGAGGGGGTTCCCTGGCCCCCCTGAAACGCACGGGAGTGTTTGTGTACATATGCCCACGAGATGCTCATCCGCCGAGAGGCCCCTTACTTTTATTCGACGCCCACGGGGACCCGTGACTCCCTTCACTGCCAACAAATGTTTGAAATCCCTAAAGGACCTCAGCCCTGGAGCCGTGGGCATTGGGAGCTGGGCACCTCTTTGCGGTTGGACGGTCCTGTGGGCAGCGTCCCGGCCTCCACACTCCAGATGCTAGTGCTACATGTTTCCTACAGCTGGTGTAACAAACTCCCACCAACTCAGCAGCTTAAACATCACACGTTCATATCTCACAGGTCTGTAGGTCAGACGTCCGACACGGGCCTCCCTGGGCCGACATGGGATGTCAGCAGGGCTGTGCTCCTTTCCGGAGGCTCGAGGACCGTCCGCTGCCTCTCCTTCCCCGGCTGTCGGAGGCCACACACAGTCCTCGGCTCGTGGCCCCTTCCTCCGTCTTCAAAGCCAGCCACACGGCGTCTCTCTAAATTTTGGCCCAAAGTCCCATTTCTGACTGTCTTCCTCCTGCCTCTCTCCTCCCCAACTTAGAAGCTTCCACTTGCCCACCCAGATAATCCAGGATAATTCCCCCAATTTAATGTAAACTCATTAGCAACCTTCATTCCATATGCAACCTCCATCCCTCTCTGCCATGTCACCTAACATAGTCACCAATTTACAGGGATTAGGACATGGAAATCTTTGGGGGGGGGGCTGTTATTCTGCCTACCACACTCGTAGATACCCCCAGAATCGGGACAACCAAACATGGCTCCAGACATTGGCAAATGTCCCTGAGGTTGGGGAGGGGTGATCCCCTCGTTTGAGAACCACTGATTTAATTTTTTTTTAGTGTTTATTTATTTTTTGAGAGAGACAGAGCGTGAGCAAGGGAGGGGCAGAGAGAGGGAGACACGGAATCCGAAGCAGGCTCCAGGCTCCGAACTGTCAGCACAGAGCCCGACGTGGGGCTCGAACCCGTGAACGTCGAGATCACGACCTGGGCTGAAGGTTGGACGCTTAACCGATCGAGCCCCCCAGGCGCCCCAGAAGAACCACTGATTTAGAGGATTCTCAAGCATTGGAAAGCCCTGCCTCGGACAGTCGTGCTCGCTTAGTGAGTTAATTAGAATGCACAGAGCCGGGGGGGGGGGGGGGGGGGAGATATTGGATGCTGAGGAAGGTTGTCTCAGATAGACAAACAGTACTCACTGTGCTACCTCGGTTCCCCCAAGTCAGAGCCCAAGACCAAGGTGATTTGGGGAGGCGATCAGGGAGCTGGAGCAGAGACCGATGGGTGAAATGAGGACCAGAGGAAACCGACTCAAGGGTGCGGTATTGATCTGGGTGCTACTAGGGACCCGGGCTCAGTCCCACGTGGGCACCGGTGAGGAACCACGTAGGACGTGCCTCAGATGTTTCCACCCAAGACAGAAGGCAAAGGCACGGAGAGCATTCAATCCAGCAGCTTCTGACCCCGTGAGTCGAGGTCGTCGGGCGAATGTTAACTCCTTAATCCCTCCCCGTGTGTGTAGACGTCCAGAGGGCCGGAGGATCTCTTGCGGCGGGCGGAGAAACGCAAGGACGAGAAACGCAGGTAAGGTGAGGGTCCGTGCGTCTGTGTGCCGGAAAGGAAAAGAAGACGGGGCTAGCTAGGAAGTTGTGTCCTTGCCCCGCGCAGGTCAGGGGTTGACCAGGCCTGGCTCCAAATCTCAGCTTCGCCGCTGGCTCGCCTCGTAACTCTGAGTGAGACACGTCGCCTCTTTCCGCCTCAGCTTCCCCATCTGTGAAATGGGGACGTGCCAGTTTCACAGGGCTTTGTCCCGGATGCGACAAAACCACGTGTGTGACGTGTCTGGCGGTGAGAGTTGCACCAGCGGAAGTCCCTGATACGGAAGCACCTCAGGCAGACACACTGAACCCCACTGCTTGACAAAGCACCCCTGCCCCGCCCGCTTGCGGAAACGTCTGCAAAACAGACCAGGGTGTCCTCGCCTATAAGATGGAACCAGTCATAAAGCCGAGCTCCTGGAGTCTGGTGAGGAGGAAGTGAGGGAAAGCGTGGACACGTGCAAACGGGTCCCCGGCACGTGACAAGTGCAAGTCTCAGCACCAGTGGAAGGAAGACCGTGTTAATGAGTTATCGCTGGGGGAAGCTGGGGACCCAAGGGGCGCCTACCACAGGGGTCCGCTGTGTATGACAAAGGACATGTGGGGGCCACACAAGGAGGGCTCGCTCCCTGCTAGACCCCACTCCCCGGCACTGCTCTGCCCTCCCCTTGCTGCGTGACCTTGGGTGAGTACCCTTCCTCTCTGATCCAGTGTGCCCATCGGGATAGCGAGACTGTAGACTGCAAACCAGCCATGGGAATCTCCCAGCCAGACCCTCCAGGATCAGTTCTCCTCTGTCTCACCCCTGTCCATCTCTCCCTCCTCCCCGGATTCTCCTCCCATCCTGGGGGTTCCCGTACCCCAGGAGCCTAGGGACCATCAGGATTAGCTCTCCAGGGGTTGTCACCTGGCCGTCTAGTCTCCACTGCCATCCATTCAACGGCACGTGGTGCTCTTTGGACCTCTTCTGTCTCCTCCCACTTGACTTCTCTCCTTACCTTATCCCCAGCCCCTGGCTGGTTCTGATCTCTGGGTGATAAGAGCCACCTGGGGGGCCCTGCAGGGACACACGTGACCTCATGGCCACTTTTAAGATAGGCAGATTGGGTGGCTCAGTCCGTTAAGCAGTTAAATGTCTGACTCTCGACTTCGGCTCAGGTCATGATTTCACGGTTTGGGGTTCAGGCCCCACGTTGGGCTCTGTGCCGACAGCATGGAGCCTGCTTGGGATTCTCTCTCTCCCTCTTTCTCTGCCCCTGCCCTGCTCACACACCTTCTCTCTCTCTCTCTCTCTCTCTCTGTCTCAAAAGAAATAGGTAAACTTAAAAAAAAAAAAAAAAAAAGATAGGCAGCATTTAAGCAAACCTCAGGGAGTCACCTGCCTTCCCTTCCTCTGGAAGTTGCCAAAGGTTGTCTTTTCATTTTCTGTATTTTCTTGATGTTTTGACACCTGGGGTCTTACTGGTCCTGAAGACACTGCTCCTCCAGGGCCGGCTGACTCCTAGACAAAGTCAAAGTCTTGCCTGTAAGTGTCATATGCAAACCAGCCAACCCAGAGCTCCCCACCCACCCCCTCCTTAGGCCCTCCCACTCTGGGCCACTGTGCCCCTGCCCTAATCGGAGGCCAGGTACCAGACCCCCAGGGACAGCCACGATGCTCCAGAATCCTCTCAAATTATGCAAACCAGCTCATCTTCAGCCTGCTCCCCCTGCCTTGCCCTTCCTGGAGAAACCACAACAAAGGCTCTTGCCACTCACCCACCCTGCTTCCTGGCCCACCCTGGTGCAACAGCTCCCACTGGCGATTCAGGACAGGACATAGTGCCTGGACGCAGCGTTACATAGCACTGGAAAAGTCGACTCCGCACTCATTCGTTGTTAATTCCCATTCAAGCCTGTGGATTACCCCCAGGTTATTGTACTTTGAACCACAAAGTAGTATTTGGAGAACACGTTAGCCTAAAAAACTGTTTCTGCCCTTTTGGCTGCATGTTGGAATCACCTTGGGGAGCTTTGAGAAGACCTGATGCTCCGGGGAATCTGCTGTCATTGGGCAGGATTTTTTTTTTTTTTATGTTTCTTTATTTTTGAGACAGAGAGAGAGAGAGAGAGAGAGAATGTGAGTGGGAGAGGGGCAGAGAGAGAGGGAGACACAGAATCTGAAGCAGGCTCCAGGCTCTGAGCTGTCAGCCCAGAGCCCGACGCGGGGCTTGAACTCACGGACTGTGAGACCATGACCCGAGCTGAGGTCGGATGCTTCACCGACTGAGCCACCCAGGCGCTCCTGAAATTTTTTTTTTTTTTAATGTTCAGGGTTTTTTAGAGCTGTCCCGTGAGTCTAAAGTGCATCCAAGTTCAAGGACCACGGGCTGACAACCACCTCAGTCCCCGTGCACGATGCTCATGGAAGCCAACTGACCCTGGAACCGGTTTATTAACGTGAAGCCCTAAGTCCACTGGGGATTTTGTAACTATTCCCAGGGGGATGGCTTCACTGGCAGGTGCTGGATGCCACAGTCCAGAAGCTGCTTCAAAATCACTTAATGAAATTTAAGAAGTATCCCCGGGAGGGGTGTATGCACTCTCTGTGATGCAATCAAACCAAAAACTCAACCCTCCCCATATTATGGCAAAAAAAGTCTTCTGTGGTTTGCAATACAATCTCCAGGGCCAGTACCTGTTGTGATATTGTGTCCCTCCCCGCCCCCGCCTCAGAATGTGACCGTGTGGAGAGACGGAGTCTTTCAAGAGGTAATAACGTTAAAATGAGGCCATTCGGATGGGCCCTGATCCTGACGGGTGGCCCATGGAAGGGGGGGTCTGGACACCGATGCGCACAGAAGGGAGACCGCGCGAGGACACGCAGAAGGAGACCGCCTACAAGCCAAGGAGAGAGACCTCAGAAGAAACCAGGCCTGCTGACGCCTTCACATTGGGCTTCCAGGCTCCAAAACAGTGCGAAAATAACATTTCCGTGGAAGCCACGTGCCCGAGCGCACGAATGCAACATTGTGCACCTGTTCAAAGTATGCTGCACTTCAGCTCGGCCTGTTTCTTTAAATTTTTCTAATGTTTATTCATTTTTAAGACAGAGACAGAGTGCGAGCAGGGGAGGGGCAGAGAGAGAGGGAGACGCAGAATCTGAAACGGGCTCCAGGCTCCGAGCTGTCAGCACAGAGCCGCACGCAGGGCTTGAACCCACAAACCGAGATCATGACCTGAGCCAAAGTTGGACAATTAACCCACTGAGCCAGGCACCCCCCCCCCCCCAGACAACTCGGCCTTCTTAAACACAGGGCTGCCCAATCATCAAATCAAGGCTTTTAACCCTGGGAAAGGAGAATAAAAGGCAGGGGTTCGGGGCGCCTGGGTGGCTCCGTCGGTTAAGCGTCCGACTTCAGCTCAGGTCATGATCTCACAGTCACGTGAGATTCGATTCCTTGCCTCTGGGTCCTCTTCTGGGGGAGTCCAACCCAAGACACCTCCCCACCTAGGGACCTGAGTCTTTGATCTGTCCTGAGCTGGAGCTGAGGTCGTTTTCATGTGTGTGAGGTGCTTGGCTGGGCCTGCCTCGGCCACGGCTAATATTAGGAGAGGACGCTTGCCCAGGTTGCATACTCAGCTGCCCGGTACCCGGTGTGGCAACTTTCCTCTTCAGCAGAAAGCAGCCAGCCTTGCTCTTGTCCCCCTGCAAACCGACAACACGCCTGTAGTCCTTGACATCGCGGGATTCGCGCCTGGAAAAGAGGTCAGCGGAGGCTCGTGGCCTTAACACCCTTTCTCAACATGCTACATATTGTGTGAGAGATTCCTGTTCAAATTCCATTCCAAAGAGAGTGATCATTAGCCCGTAGAGTCTTGACAGAGTCTTATGTAAACCGGGATATCGCCAATATCTCGACACCTGGAGACGACTCAGGTGACACGTTTGGAAAAAAAAAAATCCTCCCTAGAAGTTGAGAACAGAAAACCACGCTGCCATCGACTTTTCTCAAAGCATTAGGCAGAAGGGGGGAAAAGAAAAATCTCTCTTCGTCGGCTTGCCCGTGCATGGGCGGCCCCCAACCAAGATACGTTTCCTTTGGCCGTATGGGCTGTTTTCGGAAAAGAAGTAAAAGAAGGTTTTTGAAAATCGTCATCAGATGCTTCCAAGAAAACTCAGGCCCCTGACCAGAGTGGGAGGCGGTGTGGCCTTGCCTGGGCCTGAGCTGCCGGGGACCTGGGTTGGGGGGGTTGGGGGGGGAGAGTCTGGCCAGCTCTGGCTGGGGCCGGTGGAGCCCAGGGCAGAGGAGGTCATGCTCACGGAGATGCCAGTGGACCACCCCGCGCAGGACTGCCCTGCAGGGCTCACAAGGGGCTCATTCTCTCCCAGACAGCTGGGCACCGGGCTTGGGTGGAAAGGTGGAGACTGTGTATCTTGGCAAAGCAGGGGAAGGGTCTGGGAGATAGTCATTACAGAAGAAGGTCGTCTGCACGTCCCGTCCCAGGAGAAGGGGCTGATTCAGGGCAAACTTCGAGAAGGAGCAAAAACTTGAAACACCTTCGGGATCGAAGATAGTCTGTGTCACTTTTTGGACAGGGAAAGGTTATGGGGTAAAAAGATGGCCGACGCGGCTCAGCTGGGTGCCAGGGTCTCTCTGCCTTCCAGACAGCACTTAGAAAGCAGATCTGGGACGAGGGGGCCTTCCCCACGTGGCCTATGTGGCCTGGGCACAGGAGAGCTAAGCACTAGGTAAGCGTTGCCCCGTCCTCAAAGCTGGGGCTTGGATCAGCCCCCACCAAACTCCCATCTTCTGATATATTAGGAGAGGGATGAGGTTTAGGTAATGTCTGGAAAACGCTTCCTGCTGGTCAGTTTATCACCACATAAATAGTAGAAAAGGACCCTGGGAAGGCACGTCACCTGCAGTCTGTACCGAAAGCTTCTTTTATTAGGATCCTTGCGCATTAGGTGGCTTGAACTACCTTCCACTCACAGGGTGACCGACAGCCCCAGGCAGGTTAGGACTGTCCTGGTTTTAGCACTGAACGTCACACGTCCTGGGAAATCCCTCAGTCCTGCGAAAAGCGCCTGGGTGGCTAGTGATCCCAACCACACGTGCGCGCACGCGCGCACACACACACACACACACACACACACACACTTGCCCATCGCTGACCTCTTCAAGGATATTGGTGATGCAGTTGCAAAAATTCGTCCCACGCTCCTTTTGACCAGCTTGGCACTAGGCTGAGCCCTCCGTGGCATAAATGTGCCAGGCGCGTCGACGTGGCTGATGCCCCGCCCACACCGCCTTTAGGCCTGATTCGTTCACAGGTGCAACCGTCCTGGAGAATTGACCTTGACCGAGTAGTGCCACTTCACCCAGACGTGGAGACAACTGACCAAAAAGGGGGAGGAGGGGCACCTCTATGGTGCAGATTGTGCTCCAGATGCCCCTGAGGGTCAGGCCGAGGCGGCCAGGCTTCACCTGAGACCGCACCCTGGCTCGGCCCCCCCTGCGGCCCAATCCTGCTTCCTCGCCCCGCCCCCCTCTGCCTACCTCCCACCCCCCAACCCTAGGGCCTCCCGCAGTAAATCAAGCGCCCCGGGGTCTCCCTGCCTCCACCCCGCCCCCTGCAGGCCACTCTCTGAACTGCAGAGCCAGCTTCGCAACGTAGGAAAAGTCTGCTCAAGGTACTTACTCCTCCGCCAGTGCTTCTGGGAACTGAACACCCTTTCATGAAACAAGAACACTCCAGAACTCGGGGACAGAAGAGCACTTCTTCGACCTGGTAAGAAGAAACCCACAGCAAGCGTCAGACTTGATGACGAAACACCCAAAGCGTTCCCCTGGAGATCAGGACCGGGACCCCGATGGCCATTCCCGCCACGTCTGTTCTCACTGCACCGGAGGCTGCAGCCGGGGAGTTAGGAGGAAGAAGGGGAAGGGGAAGAGGAAGGAAGAGAAGGAAGGAGGGAGGGAGGGAAGGAAGGGAAAGGCGGGCAACCAGATGAGAAAGGCAGAAGCCCAAATTGCCTCTGCTGGGGGATAACATCTCCTGGGCCACACGGAGGGAGACGTCCTGATCTGTAGTGCTTACTGATTTCCGTAGCCCGCTCAAAGCATCAGTATGACGTCCCTGAATGTGGAGCTGGAAAGCAAGGCACAGAAGCGGCCCTAGGAATTAGGAGCGCGTACACAGAAGAGATTCACCACTGATTAAGATTCTTCCTCTGAAGGCCCTTCTCTGATCTTCATTCACGCCATGTCTGGTACAGAGTAGACATTTACTAGGTATTGAAAGTGGGGGAGTGGGGGGGGGGGAGCCAACGCGCTTCTGCGACTCTCCATTCGTGTTAAGTTAAAATTTGAAAATCTCTGCGGTGGCCCACGAGGCCCTGCGTGATCTGGCTTCTCCCCATCTTCCCAGCTTCATCTGGTACCATCTCCCGTCTTGCTTACTGTACTCGGCCACGTCATCCTTCCTTCTCTTCCTCCAGAGACCCACGTTCTTCCTACCTCAGGGCCTTTGCACATGCTCTTTCCTCTCTCAGCATGCTGCCTTCCGCTTGGCTCTTACTCACTGCTCGGGCCTCGTTTTAATGCAATGGTTCTCAACTGGGGGGCATTTGCCAGTGTCTGGACACCTGTTGAGTGGTCAAGGATTCTACCCAGTGTCCTCCAATGCCCAGGACAGCCCCCACAACAGAGAATTGTCCAGCCCCAAATGTGAATAATGGCAAGATGGAGGAGCGCCTGGGTGGCTCAGTCAGTTAAGCATCCGACTTCGGCTCAGGTCATGATCTCGTGGTTTGTGAGTTCGAGCCCCGCGTCAGGCTCTGTGCTGACACCTCGGAGCCTGGGGCCTGCTTCAGATTCTGTGTCTACCCCTCTCTCTGCCCCTCCCCCACTCATGCTCTGTCCCTCTCTCGCTCAAAAATAAATAAATTTATTGATCACCTTATTAACTGACGCCTTTCCTTTTTTTCTCTCTCATGCTACCCCCGGGCTCATCTCTTTTCTTGGACGACTTGACAACATTTGGACCAGACCCACAGCAGACATCCCAGGATATTTCTGGAGATATCCGGGATGCTTCAGAACAGACTGAACAGCCCCGCTTATGTCAGATTCGCAGAAGCAGGAACTGACACAAGAGTCTTACGCGTGATTTATTCAGGAAGCGCTCGGGAGAAATCAAGAGGCCGTGCGGGGGAAGCCAAAGGGGGACGGAGAAGCAGCCAAGCCACGGCGAGGTTTCAGCAAAGGCTCGGCTTAGCCTGATCCTGTGGGGAGCTCAGGAGTGTAAATTATGTCTCCGAGCTTGTCCTGACGCCCTCGAGACCCAGAAGGTGAGCTTTCACACCCCTGTAGCAGCCGGTAGTCGGCTGAGGGTCACTCCTGAGTGGTGCCCGGGCTGCGGCCCGTCTCCTGGCACCTCAGCCCTGCTTGCAGGCTGAGCGGCGGTCACTGGAGACAGGTGCAGCCACCGGAAGCAAAAGCCCACAGAAGCCAGAGGATGTTCGCAGATCCCCAGGAGAGGGAATCTGGAGGGAGCGCCGATGGTCCAAACCTGCTGGAAGTCTGGACGCCTGGGTTCGGAGGAGTAGCCCCGTGGAACTGTTTCTGGTCTGCAAGCCCCAGATCCTGTTTCTAGGCCCCCTTTTCCCAGGGACAAGCGTTGGTGAGCGCCCCCCTGCGAGCCGGAAGCTGTGACGTTGGCTCAGCGGGTGGGTTTCTGCTACTTGTACCTTTGCATCGTGAACGGTGACAGGCGTCTCTCCCTTCTTGTGATTTACGTTTCCACAAAGGTTGCTCATGAAAAAGACCATCAGTTTATCCTCATGGTTCTGGAGGCTGGAAGTCTGAGGTCAAGGTGTTGGTAGGGATGCTCCCTTCGGGGGCCGATGCTGGCTTCTGGTGGTTTACTGGCAATCTCTGGTGTTCCTTGGCGTATAGATGTTTCCTCCCCCTCCCCGATCTCCGCCATCGTCTTCCTGTGGTGTTTGCCCTGCGTGCATGTCTGTGCCCAAATCTGTCCCTTCTCTAAGGACACCAGTCATACTGGATTGGGGGCCCACCCTACTCCAGGATGACCTCATCTTAGCTGACTGTATGCTAGGACTTGAACATAAGAATAGGTGAGAAACACAATTTCAGGATGGCTTCCAGTAAGGCGGGCACCATCTGGTGTTGTCGGGGATGGTGTCAGAGCAAAAGGTAGAAGGACAGTGGTCACCTGAGTAGGGGGCGGGAGGGGGAAGGACCGATGAGGGGGGAGGGTGACCAGTTAGCTGTGGAGAGAAGGAGCCAGCCCCAGCCCACGGAGCACCCGGTGTCTCAGACTCTTCCACGAACCTCGTCTATCTACTCAAGCCCACCTGTTACCCCTGCCACTGATGTGGAGACCAGGTCACCAACCCACAGCCTAGAAGTGAGTGGGAGTTGACAGTCACAGGGTCACCTTGAGCCAAGGAGGGTGGGTGCCAGTAAAGGATGCTTCCCTCCTTAATGCCCTGAGCAGACGCTTCCGAGATGTATCTTGCGAGGCTTTCTAGGTCCTGCAGGATATACACTGGCCGCCCGCAGCCACGGCCAAGTCATTAACACACCCCCACGTTGGCTCTTCCTCCTTCCCTGTCCCTCATTCCCACCCTCTGGGATCACCTCCCGGGTCAACTGCCTGCACATGAACCCTCGCCTCAAGCTCTGCTTTCAGATGCAGGCTAAGATATTCTAAGGCTAAGACTGTAGGGAAAGGGGGGTGGCCTTCCCCCTGGCGCCATCAGCACCTCCCCTGTAGGGCCTGATGGAGCTCTTGGGATAGAGAATTGGGAGGTAAGAGGAGAGAGGTGTGGGGGCTGTGCTACCCAGTTCCCGAGGGCAAGCCCCAGGCTGCTGCTTATGAAGAGTTCACGGGCATCAGTAGAAGCCCCCCTGGGCCACTGAACGGCTCTGTTTTCCTAAAAGCCCTGCAGTGTTACCGTCTCCCCTCCAAAAACTAAAACTGCTCTCCGCACCGATCCACTCCCAAGAGCATCATCCCTCTCACGGCAAGAGCACACAGTCCTGTGGCCAGGCCTTCGAGGCCTCGAAGCCTTGCCTACCAGTGTGTGGCCCTGGGCAAGTGACTGGGATTCTTCCGTGCCTCGGTTTTCTCATCTGTAAAATGGGGATCACGACAGCGCTGGCCTCGTAGGGTTGCTGCAACGTGTATGTGAGGCCACACCCGCAGGGTAGTTTCCTGCCTTGCCTGGCTCCTAGCGGGCGTGCACTAAATAAAAGCAAAGCTAAGCAGTCTTGGGGGAGGGGCTAGTGACTGGAAGGGAGCAAGAGGGACTCTCCCAGGGGCTGGGAAGGTGCGTTTCTCCCCCTGGCGGACGGTTCTATGGGTGCGTTCGGTTTGTGACAACTCTGCGTGCTGACACCTTCACTCTCCTATGTGCACGTGCCACCTCGATGAGGAGCGGGAAGCCAAGAAAGGTTAAGTCACCTGCTGCCGGTGGTGTTTTGGAACCCCACCTGCAGGAGAAGGCGGGAGAAGTCTTGGCTTGAGTGAAAAACCCAGTGATTTTGCATTGGGCCCGCTGAGCCGGGAGCTGCTAGGTGGGCAAAAGCAGGTTCCCGGCTACATGACTTCCCACCTTCAGACCTCCGTTTCTCCAAAGTTCCGGGGAAAGAATTCTTGCCTAATTTCCAAGTCTGGCTGTGGTTCTCCATTTTCCTGAGGGGGGAAACAGGCCCCATATGGTTCATTGCAAATTAGGGGAGGCTTTAGGAAAGGTGCAGAGCCTTGGGAGAGAGGCAGGTCTCCCGCAGACCAGCCTCAGAACAGCTGGCTCTGGCCGGGACCCAAGGCAGTGTTCTAAGCGCTTTTTGTTCCGTATCGCATAACCCCATTTTGCAGAGGAGGAAACTGAGGCGCCGAGAGTGAAAGTCACAGAAGCTCAGTCGCAGAGCTCCGTGCGCCTCTGCGCCAGGCCCCCGCGGTTGGGTGCGTGGCTCCCCGCTCCCCACCCACCCCACCCCAGCCCTTCCCCTCCCCCACCCGTGCATTTAGTCGGGCTGGGTCCTCGCCAAGTCTGGGCTGTCACAGCGTTCCCACCTTTGATCACCAGGCAGCGTTCTTGAAGTGCCGAGTCTCCCAGATGTTGGCCTGATCAAAGGCAGCTGTTGCCCGGACCCTCCCCGGAGCACACGATTGTAGACGCACGTAGGAGCAGCGGCGAGAGGGTGGGAGGGACAGACACGTGACAGATGGAGCCGCTCCGCCGGGGCGGGGGCGGGGCCGGGCGCCGGGGACCCCCCCGGGCTGGGCCCTCGCCCTGTGGCTGTGGGTCTGCAGCCGACGCCCGGACCCAGAGGCAACGGCTTACTTTTGAAAACGCCGGGCGCTAGCTTGCGGGGGCCTCAGCCTCAAAAGGAGATCACAGAAGCGGGGTCTCGGAGACTCGCGCAGCGCCTGCCTATAGCTTTGATAATGACAGTAATTCCTTCTGTTACATGACGCGCCCCATTGACTCCGCGTTTGCTTGCAAGTCGTCAAGAGCTGGGTGTGATGTTTACAATTCGTTAAATAAAGGAGCAGCCTGCGTAGGAGACTCCTATGGTTTGGGGGCTTTAAAAAAAAAAAGAAAAAAAGAAAAACCCGTTGTAGGAACGGAGGGAAAAATCTGGAAGAGCATATTGCAGAAAATCGACAGTGGCCAGAAGTGGGCTTGTGAGATGGCGCGTGTGTTTGGATATTAATTTTCGGCAAGGTACGATGTGCCTGTACAAACAGTAGATGAGAGAAATGGACAAGATACAAGGCTGGAAAAACAAACGAGCCTGGAATACGCAAGGGGCGCCCCCGGAACCTGCGCGTTGACCGGCAGGTGGCAGACCGCGCCTCCCTCTCTCGTCCCAGTTTCCGTTTCCGGAGGAGAAAGCGAAGTGGAGGGTGTCCCAGAAGGCCCTGTGTCCCCGGCCTCAGAAACCGCTCAGAAGTCACAGACTCTAATGGGACAGGGATAAGGCGGCTCCCTTCCTTTTGAGCGCGTGATCTGGGGGAAAGCCCTTTCTTTGCAGGCGTCCTCTCTGACTCTCAACGCTTAGAGCAAGTGGAACCCTCCCGGTTTTACCAGGACACAGGTGTGAGCGGATGATTCCATTTTCAGGAATTCTGTGAATCTGTTGATGATCATGGCCATTACTAAAAAGTAAATTATGTACACTTACAGTGAAATAAAGTATATTAAAAACAAGGGAAATGTTCGAAACGCATCCCTTCTTTTTTCAGGTTTATTTCATTTGAGAGAGAGTGAGAGCAGGGGAGGGGCAGAAAGAGAGAGAGGGAGGGAGGGAGTCCCGCGCTCTGTGTGCTCTCAGCACAGAGCCGGACGTGGGGTTTGAACCCATGAACCATGAGATCATGACCTGAGCCGAAATCGAGAGTCAGAGGCTTAACCAACTGAGCCATCCAGGTGCCCCCAAGCTCACGGCTTGCTTTCTTTTTTTTCTTTTTTTGATTTTTTTTAATGTTTATTTATTCTTGAGAGAGAGACAGAATGTGAGTGGGCCAGGGTAGAGAGAGAGGGAGACCCAGAATCGGAAGCAGGCTCCAGGCTCCGAGCTGTCCGCCCAGGGCCCGCCGCGGGGCTCGAACCCACGAACCGCGAGATCACGACCTGAGCCCAAGTCGGACGCTCAACCGACTGAGCCACCCAGGCGCGCCCCCCCCCCCCCCACTGCTTCTTAACTGTCTTACGACATTCTACTGTTGTCTGTGCTCTCGGGGTTACTTCCGGCTGCTGGAAATATTGTTAGGGATATCACGTTGACAGGAATCAGCCACGGTAGGAGCGTGCATGCCAGGGAGACTGGCCAACGTCACATCTCAGCAATGTTTTTCCCAGAGAGCACTGGTAAACATTCCCCAGCACACATCGTCCTTAGTGGTAAAGTCGGGGTTGGAAACGTACGAGACGGGCACCTGTGCTCTTACCGCCCGCACTGAGGACGCCAAGCTGTCATTGAAGCCGGGCCCCGGAGCCACCGGCTACCGTCTTCCAGCTACGTGAGGAGGTAAAGTAAAAACCCATCCACGTTCTTCTCTTTCCTGCAGTCAGGGCCCAAGCATCACGCGAGTCATTCACCTTGGGAGCAGAAGGGCCTAACTGGTCCCGCTTCACTTGATGCAGTGTCTGGCCTCCGTCCCCAAATGTGTTGCTTTTGAAGGACGTAAGAGCAGCGGCAGCAGAAAGTCGCTGGCAGGAGTTTGGAACCGCATCTTCTTCTGTGGGAGCCGCCAACTTCCCACGGTCCTGGGAACTGAGTTCGGTCGAGCGGTTTCGTTAGACCGGCCACATCACCTCCCTGCCCCACATCTTGGCGTGGCGACCCAAAGCTCTTCGGTCAATGGCCAAACTCCTTCTCAAGGTCAAGGTCTGCTGTGGCTGGAATCACGTCCGTGGCTCCGGCCGAGTCTCCCGTGGTTCCCTCCGTTGTCCCTTGTGGCCCCAGTAGACCAAGTACCTCAGGTCCTCGGGTGCCAAGCCCGCCACATCTCTGCCCTGCACACCCAGGCTGTGCTCCCTCCCTGGACTGGTCTTGTCACTCGTTCCTAGCTACCTGCTTCTCCTCCTCCCGGCCTCGGCCCCGCTGTCCCCGGTTCACTTCCCCTCGGTTTACCTCCGCTGACCACCCCTCCTGTGTGGGCTCCGGGTTCTCATAGAGCATCCTCTCTGCTCAGCCCTGCCTTGCCCCTCATCCCGCCAGACCACACGAGTTCCTTTCCCTGTCTTCCCCCTGAAAATGTGGGCAAGCACAAGGTAGGAACGGTGTTCCGCTATCTCGATCAGCCAGTATTTGCTTCGTGCCAAAGGGAATCCGGCTTCCCCGGTTACCAGCTCTGTGTGCTCTTAGCCTTGTCTGTAAAATGGGTCAAGAAAGACACACATGTTGTGGTTCGGCCTGAAAGAAGCAATGCACGGAAAGTGCTTAGCATGATGAGTGTGGTCATTCAATAAATGTAGCTGTGTGTGTGTGTGTGTGTGTGTGTGTGTGTGTGTGTGTTGATTTTACACCCTCGTCAGCTGGACGGGGCTTTCCCTCCAGGATGAAGGGGAGACAGAGGGGCAGCGTGGAGGCCCGAATAACCCACCGCGCTGCCTCAGTGTTCCCAGCGCTGCGTCTCCCCACCCCTCCGTCCTGGCCCCTGAAGAGCATGAGACCAGAGGCGCTGATCAATCACCGGGACTTTAAAGGCCGCCGGCTTCCATCCCCCCGTGTCCTCCGATGTTTCTCTTAGCTACATGCTAACACCCGTTTGTTTAGAACTCGCAGCCCATACATCTCGGAGAGGACTTTGATCCCTGGCAGCTGAGTACGTGTGAGTGAGGCAGCGTCCCAGGGGCAGAGAGAGCCGGGAAAGAGGGCAGGCTGGGCTTGCCTCTCTCATGCCCTCTGAGCTTGGCATTTCACCACCAGCCACCCCGCCCCCCGGGCCCCATCCCCGCACGCTGCCCTTAGAGCCAGAACCAGGAGCAAAAGCTGAAGCTCCAAAGTCAGAACGTCCTGGGTTCAAACCAAAGTATACACTTTCCAGCCATATGACCTTGGGCCAGTCCCTTGACCTCTCTGGGTATCACTTTGCTTATCTGTTCCATGGGCACAATAATCGCTCTTGAAGCCAGTACGTCGTGTAGGAATAAATAAATTCACGCACTGGGGCGCCTGGGTGGCTCAGTCGGTTGAGCATCTGACTTCGGCTCAAGTCATGATCTCGTGGTCCGTGAGTTCGAGCCCTGCATCGGGCTCTGTGCTGACAGCTCAGGGCCAGGAGCCAGCTTCAGATTCTGTGTCTCCTTCTCTCTCTGCCCCTTCTCCGCTCACACTCTGTCTCACTCTGTCTCTCAAAACTAAATAAATGAAAAAAAAAATTAAGATCACACACAAAAAAGCGCTTGGGATGAGACAGGAGCTTACATGTTTGAATGAGCAGGTATTTGGGCCCTGTTCGTGGAAAAGCACAACACACAACAATTAAAAGCACAGGGTGGTGGGGGGGGGGGGGCCCCGGGGGGCTCAGTGAGTTAAGCGTCTGATTCCTGATTTCGGCTCAGGTCACGATCTCAGAGTTCACGGGCTCGAGCCTCGCGTCGGGCTCTGTGCTGACAGCGCGGAGCCTGCTTGGGATTCTCTCTCTCCCTTTCCGTCTCTCCCCCCCCCCCACTTGAGCTCTCTCGCTCTCTCAAAATAAATAATCTTTAAAAAATAGTGAAAGCCCAGGGAAGTCACTTCCCCCCTTTAGAGCCTCATCTCCTCATCTATAAAATGGAAATCAAGTACTCCCGCCTTACAGGGAGTTAATGTGAGAACTAAGGCAGTAGGTCGAAGCGCTTGGCACAGTTCTCGACACATTGCGATCACTCAACAAACATCACCTCCACCGTCAAAATGATCCGTTGGCTGTCGGCACCACCGTCGTGGGATGCCGTGTATCCGCCGACACTGCCCCCAACTCTGAGCAGATTCCCGTCAGGAAAGGATAACCGTAACACTGAAGAAAAGCTCACACAGCTGGGGAGGGCGGTGAGGCGGACCGTGTGGGGAAGAGCCCCGTGCTATGGTGATCCCGTGAGCACAGATGATGAGATGGCCATGGGGTCATTTGGCTTAACTTTTACTCCGTTTCCCTGACCTGGAACCTAGGAGGCCCTCCCCCCCACAACCCCACACACCCAGGGATGCAGACATGGCTTCAGGTGTGGACTTCTACGAGGTGGGTGGAGAAAGCCACATCCTTTCCCGGCCTCACTGAGACGTCCCCATTTCATGGAGGGACCTTCGTCATGACCGTGTGAGACGGCGGGAGCAGGGAGGTTTTGATTTTATTCCTGTCCCTCTCTTTCCAGCAACCACGTTGGGGGAGGTCTTCTCAGGTGGCCGTGCCCCTCTCCATCCCCACCATATCCCAATCCGAGGTGCCATCACCTCTCATCGAACAGCTGTGGCAGCCTCGTCCGTGGGCTCCTTGTACAGAAAAGACCCCCCCCCTTCTTCTTCACTAATAGGACTCTGGGTTCACCTGAAAAGACTCTTTCCCAACATCCCTTGCAGCTGGAGAGAGCCATGTGGCTGAGTTCTGACTGATGGTTGGTGGGTGGAAGCTGTTGGCGAGGGGGACTTCTAGGAAGACTTCGGAAGGTACCCGATCCTGTTGGCAAGGATTTTTGCCTTTCCCTCTTTCCTCCTCCTTCCTGCCTGGAATGTAGACGCGTTAGCTGGAGCTGCGTGGCAACTTCTTTATCACTGCCCTTCCATTTTCAATAAACGTAGCCTCTACTCATGGTCCAAAATGGCTTCCCCGGCTCCTGCCTTCATGCCTCCATTCCAACCAGATGGAAGAGGGTTGGGGGGTGGGGAAGGGGAGTCACGGACCACAGACGGGCAGCCTACGATCCCAAACCGACCCATGGACGCGATGGATCGATTCATTGATTGATTGGGTTCACAGAATTTCTGTTTCTTACTTTATCAGCTCCAACATTCAAAGGCCAGGAGAGGTCATGTGAAAAATCTGAAATTTCTGACATTTTTTGGGGAAAATCCGAAGATCTTTCAATAGCGGGGCTGCCTGTCCACGTGCCAACACCTGCAGCAGCCGGGAAGAGCCACCCCCATTGGGTGACCCACTTAGGCCGGCGAAACTCACCACCTTCACCCTCACACAATTCAGCGTGCAA